CAACCCAGAACTCCACAGGATAGCACACCGGCTGTGTTTACAGACAGTGAGACAGTACAGGAAGGTACAGTCCAGTCATGGGAGCTGACGGACTGGAAGGTGTAGGCAGAGAAGCCACTGGAACCTGGTTGTGGAGAACCCCTTCCTGCTATTTACCTACGTCATGTTCCAGTTTAGAAAGATAAAGAGGTTTGAGGGGTATTTTAGGAAATATTTTTGAAATAAATTCCTTAATTGGGAAAGAAGAACAAATAGACAAAACATGTGGATGTGTCATATAAATTACGTCCTATATGGCCCCAGAGCATCAAATACTAAAATGGAAAAAAAAAGTGCCCTCAGCCTTTATTCTCACTGTACATTTTGAGCTTGAAACATATCTCCACATTAGGGTGTGTTCTTTGTTAAATTGGAAAATATCCTGTGAAGTATATTAATTGACATCTCTGCAGGCTAATAAGTGGGTAGCATTTCTTCTAGTGGTAAATTGGGTTGAAAGCTGTGATTTCATTTTAATCTCATTGCAAAGTCTTCGCCCATGACTGCTTGGAACCATTTCTCATCTTTACTAGAACTACATTTGTTTACAATTCTTTTGGTCTGTTGCAGGTCAGGAGTCTCTTTAAAAAATGGGATTAGGTTGGGGTGGGGGGAAGATAAAATTAGAGAAATAATATTTTCCCACAAGTCCACAGTCCTTATAAATATTTTCTTTTTTTATTTTTTGAAAGTACTGTTCTAACTGGGGGGGAAAATGTGTTTATTTTCCTTTTAGGAAGTTTGCAGATCAGGTACAAGCTGAATAGAAATCAAGATCCTGATGTTGTTAATTTTGATTTTAAAAGTATGGCGGATGGACAACTTCATCACATAAAGATTAACAGAGAAGAAGGAGAGGTGTTTGTAGAGGTAACGTAGCAAATCCAGCTCTTGCTATACACCGTCCAGTTGGCTCAAACGCAAAGAGACCCTCTGTCCTATTGACCAAACGTGTATCAGAGCCCACCCTATGCTCACACTCTCTGCTGCACCCATGATTGAAGCCTCTGTGACTGCCCGTCTCACTGAGAGTCTTCCTCTTCCTCACTGACCCTGAACCTCTCCAAGTTTCCAATGATGGATGCTTTGATCCCTCCCAGTAACAGGCCAGAAGCCAATTAAATGCTAGCAACCTTTTACAAGGCACTCTCTGAGCATATGGGATCAAAAGCAAAAATTTTTATAATAAATATAACGAATAACGACAAACACATCCTTTCAGAGTTGTTCTTCCACAGATCATACTGAGAATATCACATGTAGCCAGATTTTCTGTAAGCAACAAAATTTTGTCCAAAATATTACTATTTGATTGCTTACTTAGAATGCCCAGCTTTTCTCCTTGTCTTTATGAGATCAGTGGGGAAACATGTCTAATTTATCACAGTACACGCCTTGTAGGATCCCAGGTTCTCCAAAGAAACCAGTTTACATCAGATGAGTATAAATGCGGCAACACTTTTAATCCAGAAAATAATGAATGCAATAACAGAATAAAAAATGATGTAAGTCTCAGGAGAAAAATTACAATTATTCACCGTACTAGCTTTTGAAGAAAAGCATTAATGTTTCTGCCTTCTACATGGGGGGAGTTGGGGGGGGGAAGAAATCCCATTTTTAGCTGCATGATTTAAGCACTAAACCAAGTAAAAGTACTAAAGTGAAAAATAATTTACTGTATCTTTTTGGTTGGTTTCACTGACTATGACTTCCTTGTATGGTGTAGAATAGTAAGGACAGAGGTAGCTTTGGAAGTAATATGGAAATAGTTTAGAAATAATACTGGCCTAAGAGACTCTTTAAATGTTTTTAGAAGCCTTTGGGGGCCACATTAACATGTAGGTTTGATTTGGGGTTTTTCCACTTTTTTTTTTCACTCTCCCTTCTCCTTTGCTTTTTTTTTTTTTTTTTTTTGGCCGCTTCTCAACACAACCTGCCTTTCTTGGTATCACACGCGACAATTGTGTAGGTTGACGAGAATGCAAGGAGACAAGTCCACCTGGCGTCAGGTACAGAATTCAGTGCAGTCAAATCCCTGGTACTGGGCAGGATTGTAGGTAAGTGGAAGCAACCTTTTTCCCTCTAGTGGCGATTTCTAAATGGGGATTGGGATGAACATGGTCTGTATACAGGAAGTGTTCATCATGCACAAATAAACGTCACATCTTCCTTTTCATTGGAAGGTGATTGAGTGCAATGGTAGAAATCATACCGTCTACGAGGCTGGGCCACCGTGTGGTTTCCTGCAGGATGGACAAGTGTCCTCCACAGGCCGAATGCACTGGTCTTGGATAGAAGTCCACCTTGCATAATGAAACGTCTTATTACTCTCAGGCTTCAAAGGCATCAGATAATACAGGCAGAAATTACAATTTGTGTATTACCTAGCTGCCAAGTATCTAAAAACTTTCTATTTTGATGAAATGAGGATGAAGTCTAAAAGAAAAGGAAGAAGGGGGGGATTGCATTTCTCTCTTCTCCTTGGTGAATATGCTTACGATTGTGGTTGTGTTTACCTTGTTGAGATGTTAAACTTGATGATTTAGTAATGCTGAAACCTAACCAAAATGTCTTGAAAGACAGAATAATGGTGGTCGTAGTTCAATGATGATTAATTTTCTAAAACATGAATGGGAATGATTGAATGAAACAAAGTGTGAATGAAGGTTAGTGGGAAACACAATGTATACGAACTTTGTAAGCAAACCAACATAAAATTAAAAAAGGAAATCTTCTAATAGTTGCTCACATCTGGCAAACCAAAACCACTGCTGTCAAGGGGGTTCCAGCTCCACTGGGCCTCGGAGGTTATAAATCCTTCTAGGAGGAGACACTTCCTCTCTCTTCCGTGAAAGAGCTGGTGGAGTCAAACTGCCCATGTTTTGGTTAGCAGCCTAATATATCACACAATACACCAGCTGGGCTCCTTTAGGTCTATGAACTGCTTATAATAATAGCACTGAAATAGAAACACTATACTGCTATTGTCAAGGAGCCTAGGTGACAGACTGCTAACTGAAAGACTGGCACTTCAAATCCACCAACTGCTCTGTGAGAAAAAGGTGGGCAGTCTCCTGCTGTAAATACTTACAGCCTCAGAAGCCTGATGGGGGATTGATCACTCTGAGTGACCATCAACTTGACAGTAGTAGGTTGGTTTGTTGTTGGAGGCAGACTGTCCTTTTAACCAAAAAAATACCTGCATGTGCCTCTCTCACTCTCTTCCCTTGACAACAAAAAACGAAACTGAAAGAACAACGAATTTTTAAGGAGATTTTTCATTTTGTTTTGAGTAAATTATAAATAGTAGCAATATTCCATATCACTAAGGGGGGTGGTGGTGATGGTGATGTTGGTAGAGATGATGGTAATGATGGAGGTGGTGGTTATGGTGGTGATGTTGGTGTCGGTAGTGTTGTTGGTAATGATGGAGGTGGTGATGGTTGCGGTAATAGTGGTAGTGGTTGTGTGGTAGTTGTGGTGATGATGAGTGTTGGTAGTGATGATGGCAACGATGGAGGTGGTGGTGTTGGTAGTAATGATGACGGTGGTGGTAGGAATGATGGTAGTGATGGATGTGGTGATGGTGGTGATGATGACAGTATTGGTAATAATGATGGTAGTGATGGAGATGGTGGTGGTTGTGGGGGTGTTGGTAGTGAGTGATGGTACTTGTGTTGGTAATGATGGAAAAAAGTGTTGATAATGACAGAAAAAAGTGTTGGTAATTATGGAAGTGATGATGGTAGTGGTGGAGGTGGTGAGGGTGATGATGATGATGAGAGTATTGGTGGTAATGAGGGTAGTGATGGAAGTAGTGATGGTGGTGATGACAGTGCTGGTAGTGATGATGGTATTGATGGAGGTGGTGGTGGTGGTGATGGAGGTGGTGTTGGTGGAGATGGAGGTGGTGGTGGTGGTGATGGAAGTGGTGTTGGTGATGATGGAGGTGGTACTGGTGGTGATGGAGGTGGTACTGGTAGTGATGGAGGTGGTGTTGGTAGTAATGATGGTATTGATGGAGGTGGTGCTATTAGTGATACAGGTGGTGATGGTAGTGATGAAGGTGGTGATGGTAGTGATGAAGGCGGTGATGGTAGTGATGGAGGTGATGTTGGTAGTAATGGTGGTGGTGATGGTGGTGGTTGTGGATGTTGCTTTTTTTCATTCCTGGTGTGATATATTCTAACATTTCGTATTTTGTACAAGAGGATAAAGAAACTTTAATTTTTGACCTTTTCAGTTTTTTGTCTCTCAATTAATCACTTCTTCCTTTCCTTGACTATAATCTCAGAATCTTGAGCTTGTGCTAGTAAACCCATGGGTGAACTATCAAAATATTAGCCCTTGAGAAGGTTCATAGTTAAGCTCATAAATATTTATAGATATTCAAACACTGTGCTGAGCATCATGTGTGTGTGTTCTACCTCTCCAAACAAACCGGGGAAGGATCACGAATTGCAGTGTCCCTTATGCATATTATGATAAACCACTGGGGGGGAAACCCCCAAACAAACCACTGTTTAAACACTGGGAAACTTAAACTGAGAAGTTCCAAGGGACTTTCCTAATGTTAACTATGTAACTCCAGATATTTATGAGTAGTACTTATAGTATTTGCTCTAAGGCTACATATGTGATCCATAACACATTTGACATGAAATAGTGATTCTTCTTTTTCCATGGTCTCTTCACAATTTTTTATTAGTTTGCATAGATCATGTTTTGCACATGTACTTTGTGTTTTATATAATTATTCACACACATTATATTTTATATAATTAATGACCATTGTTCTATGCCTACTATGACCTAGTCTTTTCAAGTCCTCTTTGAACCTTTCCCACGACGTCAGCCCCCCTCCACCACGAACCTCTGCTTTCCCAGTGATCTTCTCCCTTCCCCTTTTTCTGCCAAAATTAGATTCAAAGATCAGTAGTTTGAGCTCAAGAGTCACTGCATGGGAGGAAGACAAGGCAGTCTGCTTCCGTGAAGATTGCCGTGGTGTTGTTGGTGGGGACTTTGAGTCAGAACTGACTCATAGCTGACCTTCCAGCAGGTTTTCAGAAGCATTAAGTCACAAGGGGTATTACTCGTCCTTCTGTCGCAGAGCAGAGCAGCTAGTAGATTCAAACTGTGTGCTTCTGGGTTGGCAGTACGACTCCGCTAGATCTCTCTGTGAAGTTTACAGCCCTGCAGAGCCCTTCGCACAGTTCTACACTGTCCCACAGGGCTGCTGTGTGTTTGTATCAACTCGATGATCATGTTTTTCTTGTTTAATAACAATGAAATGAAAATAGTGTAACCAGTTAAAGGCCACTGTAGAGAGAGGGATAATGAAATATAGGCATTTATCGTCATTGGTGTGGGGTTTTTTGGTTGTTGTTTGTTTGGTGGGTTTTGTTTTTGTTTTTGGTTTTTTTGTAATGTTACAGAATTTTATTCCATGTGTGTCTGTTCCATAGCAAAAGAAGTTTCAGAGAATTTTTAAAAATCTGAACAAATTGTAACAACAGTAACAACAGCAGAGACAGTAGCCTTTATTAATTTCAAAAGGCAGTCCCCTTCCCTACTTAGGGAAGACTTTGTTCACTCTCAGCCTGCTATCTCTAGTAAGCCAACCTTTGCTCACAGCAATTAAAAAAAGAAAGTTCAATGCTGTCAAATGGATTCTGAACCAACTGCAACATTAGTCTTCTGAGGTGCAGCTGGTGGATTTGAACTGCTGATCTTTTGATTTGAAGTTCAGTACTTAACCATTGCACCATCACGGCTCCTTACTTAAAAATCCCAAGAAGTTCATTGAAATGAAAAATAAACAAACTAAATTAATAAAAAAAAATACCAAGATCATGAATTGGCTCTAACTCTTAATCAACCTTATAGCACAGAGTCGAGTTGCTCCCCACCCCCCCCAGAGTTTTCCGGGCTGTAATCTTCATGGAGGCAAACTGTCACGGCTTTCTGTGGATTCAAATGGCTTTAAATAAGTAGCTGAGGACTTGGCCACCATGTCACTAGAGCTCCTTGCTCAGGAAATGACTAGTTGTTCACACAATTAAATGAATGTGTAACTGATAGTCTTAGAAGGATCCTGTCCCTTCAACTCCATGTTGGTGGTCACCATGGAGTAGAACACTGAGCTTCTGATGTGCTTATTGATATCAAGAGACCGGAATGAAATAGGACTTCTATTCAAAACAAAACAAAACAATGCTGATAGAATCCCTGCATGGTTATTGTTGTACTGGATTATATCAGTTAATTACCAAGCAAATGGTTGGCAGTTCAAATCCTCTCAAAGTAACTTTGGAAAAATGACTTAGAAAGCTACTTCTGAAAAATAAGCGATTAAAAGCATGTTTTTGTGTATAAACTTTTCTTAAGCTTTTATGATAGTGATCTTATATTTGTCCTTTTGTGACTAACTCCTTTCACTCAACATAATGTCATCTAGATTCATCCATGTTATGCAATAATTCATCAATTGTTTTTCGCTTTTGCATTGCATGAATGTATCATGGTTTATCCACTCATTCCTTGATGGCTTATTTTCAACTCTTCACTACTGTGAATAATGGTAGAGAAAAGTTTACACACAGAGAAAACCATACAGTCTGATTACCAGGGAGATGAATGAGAAATAGAAAATTAATAAATAGATAAGAAAAACTTTTTAATACAGGGGAACACTGACGGCTTAATGGTGTGGAGGTATGCGAACCCAAAAGCAGGCAGTTTAAGTCTACCAGCTGTTCCTCTGGAGAAAGTTGGGCAATCTCCTTTCATGCATTTTACAGCCTCAGAAAACCCCTGGGAGGGCCAGCTATGAGTTGGTTCAGATTTGAAGGCTCTTAACAGCAACAACAACCTGGGTGAAGAGCAAGACCACACGGAAGGAGTGATTGAACACTGTGGGCACCGAAATTAACACTGTGGAGAACTCGACATAAATTATTACTTAAAAAGCAACATGCTTTGTAAACTTACACTCAAGTCACAATTTTAAAACTAACTGCTATGGGCACAGTTCTGCTCTGACACACACAGGGTTGCT